AGGACAAAAAGAAAATCCCGAACAGGAGATGACGCCCTTCTTTTTGGACACGAACAGGCCCAAAGCACAAACCCTTCCCCTTCCAACTCCTCCTGCTTCTGTGCTGCCACTGCGCATGTACCCGCTGTGCGGCTCCGGGTACGCCCGGGGCATCCGCTCTAACGGAGAAAGGCAACAGAGTTGTCTCCTGCTTGTTTTCATGTTATGTGGTACTGAAATGCAATTTCTTGTTTATGTGTTACTAATAAAAAGTCCTTTCAAATGACATGGCATCGCTCTCGCTTTCTTGAGCTAACTGTAAAGGTGGCGAGTGCCATTTCTTACACAGCACAGCTGGTAAGGGCACGCTCCACATCTGTTTGGTCAGGAACAGCCCCGACCCTTAGCTGTGGCAGATTTTAACTAGGTTAGAAACAAAATTGTAGAAGAATAAGAAGGGGAAGTATTGTACCAGCAGGCCCCCAAATTAGGAGCCCTTACTGGTGATTTTACTTGCAGGTGCCTTCCAATAAAATGAGAATCGTATCTCCACCACCTCAGCTGTGAGAAAATTAAGAGGACGGGACTTGGGCTTCACAAAAATGCCTTTTCATTGAACAAATCCATAGCGAAAGCACAACCTGCTCCCTGGCGCTGCGATTAAAAGGCTCGCCCATAACCTGCGTGATTCTGACCGGTGGCCAGTAGTGTTCATGGGGTAAGAAGATAGTTCATTAGATAAATAAGGTCTTACTTACAAGTCAGGGCTAATCGTTTTAGATGACTCTCTCCTGTTTTACTGCAAGAGGAAGCAGCTGGCAGGCCCAAACGGAGTCGCCCGTTCGGGCGGGGGGACCCCTGCAGAGCTGTTGAGCAGTGGGATGCGTGGCTTACAGCGAGCTCCGGGGAGCCTGCTGCTGGCTCCTGCCGCTCACCCAGCACGGGCCGACGCAAAGAATTTTTCTGCGGCCCTCTCTGAAAACCAACAGCCCGTTTTAAATTACAGCAGTTACACCCAGAAGTGGTTTTTTTAAACCGAGGATGTCATTTATTTAAGATAGCACCATAGTGTACATAGACACTTTACAGAGTCCTGCCCTTCACAGCTTACAATCTAGGAAGATGCAAGAATAGGAAAGGTGTTACCCGCTGCTCCACCTGGAGATGTAAATGAAAAGTGTCACATCAAGGAATGTCACTGGTCATCTCACTCAGCGCTACTTTATGTCACCGTCACATACATCAATGCCTGATATGTGCTATACATCAGTTCCCGATACGTGCCGAGTGCTGCAGGTCGGTGCCTCTACTTCCGTGAAGTAGATCGTTCAAGAATACTGCGACTTAAACTGGGATTGCCCGTTTTCCCAACAATTACGGCCCTTCCCACACTGTGCCCTGCTGACTTGATGGGGGAAAAGAAGCAAGGAGTATGGGGGGGCATGGAGGACGCATGCTGGCACAAGGACAAGTCAGGGGGGGAAAAAAAAAGAAAAAAAAAAAACAAACATGTTATACAAAACCGATTACACACAAGACCATTTGATTGCACTGTTTTAAGCTCATGCCTTTTGTTGCTAACATGAGCCTGTCCGCACTAGCATGAAAAATAGACATCAACCAGAAACCAGAGTTTTCCTCAGGTTTGGTACCTTCAACATCTTAAAATCCTTCAGGGCCAAGAGCCAGCGTGCCCAGTTTGCCAAGCTCTGGGAACCACCGCTGCCGTCTTCCCCCGCAGCCAGGAACCAGCTATCCCCAGCCTCACCCGTCCACAGCAGGCGTATGCGACCCAGCTGTCGCTGCTGGGCAGGGTGAGCAGCCACACACCTAACCTATCTGGAGACCTCAATCGCCCGCACTAAATTCTTAAAAACAACCACCTCCCTACACATCCCCCCCTCCCCACGCCCTTGTCCTTGAATCGCAACCTAACGGCTGAGAAACACTGAACTGCAAGCCTCCGTGGCTTGAAAAACAGCAGCAACCAACCTCCCTCCCTCAACACACAAAACTCTACTTTATGTCTATTTTCAACTCGCAAAGTACAGAATCCTTATTCAAAATGGCACTTGCTACCCATTAATCAGCATGGTTGCAAGTGCTGAGCTTGCTTCTGCTTGGTCCCCAGCACTTCAAGATCCTTCCAAGTTAACGAGCGTTGACTTAACGCCATTTCTGCTTTATAAATTTTTTTTCCTCCTATGTACCCGGCTGTTTCTGCACCAATCTAAAAAGCTACACTCCCCCTTGCTCCTGCAAGCAGCCTAGCACTTTCCCTCACATGCGGCTTTCTGTCCCTGACAGACACCTCAGTCCATGCACATGACATAAAACTGACTTCAGAAATATTTTTTAGCCATTTCCAGTAACTCAAGAAAAGATGGGGGAGTTTCCCTAGGGAAGGACCAAGACAAGCAATTCCAACAGTAGGGCTTTTTGCCCCAAGGGTCAACTCAGAGTGGAACGGTGACAGAACTGGAGTGGGAAACGGAGTGCTTCAAAACCAGCGTTACGCACAGCAGGGCTGAGCATGCAGCTACAGATCCCATCAGCTCCCACGGAGAAGAGTCACATGGTCAAGGGAGAAGAAGGGTGGCAGCCCCGTATGCAAACCCGATGGGCAGAAAGCAGAAGATGGAAGTGTCCAGGAAAGCTTACGGGCAATTAAGAATCGCTTCATCTGCTAAACACTGGAGCCTACTTGGTCCCAGCGTGACCGCTGCCTGCAAGGTCCTTTGTACGCGCTGGGAAAAGGAGCAACCACAGGAAGACCAATGAGCCCAGAGACGCAGGAGCGTCCCCCCCAAAGATAAGGTGAGAAGCAGCAGCACTGCCCAGCAGCAGAGAGAGGCAGCTGGGTGACAAAACTGGCCTCTGGAAGAAATTAGCCTTTTTCCTCCCCAAAGCTTCCCCACTCCCATTTAGCCTAGCGAAAAGCAGAAGAGGACTGAGCGCAAGCGGGCAAGGTGCTGATCCACGGCAAGGGGAGCCGCAGACAGATTGGAAAACCAAGCATCCAGCCATGTAGTTCCCAAGCAGCACGAACCGGAGAGGAAGCAGCCCAGAACCAGTGGGGAATGAAACAGAAATGAGATGCTGCAACACAAGCAGATAAGGATTCGTTTCTGGAAGAAGGAAACAAAGTGCAAAGAAAGTAATCCTGAAAGCTGACGCACAACTGGTACCGACCCTGAGGTGTGGCAGAGGAGTTCGGCCCTAGACAGAATACAGGAGCCTGTGGCGACTTCTCTGGGACACCAGCTGCTGCCGGCAGGTGCTACACACGTCAGTCGGCTTTAAGACACCACTACATGATTATTTCAAATCTGATGCAAGAAGCAGCTTTAGACAATCCTTCCAAACCGAAGCAATACATGAACCTCTCCAAAGACTCTTCTACCCCCCTCCCCCAGCAGCTATGTTTTCATCATCTCCAGTAGGCACGTATGGAAATGCTGTAGTACAGGTTTCCACATGCACGCACACTTACTCATCTTCTCCTTTCGTTTGCAGAGCTCTGCCATAGCTGCGCTCCCCTTCCTAGCAGAACGCCACCAGGAGCCAGAACATCTGCCTTCTGCCTTCTTTATCCGGGAAGTGGCATCGCTCCTCTGAGAAGCGCAACTGACCTGCACCAAAGCTATCCAGCGTATCTTCCAGAAGGGAGCTGCTATCAGCCTCTAAGCTCTAAGTTTCTGGTCCAAAATAAGAAAGGCTTGAGATCCATATAAAAAGAGCAATGTAAATATTAGCTACTCATTTACTTGCTTTCGACTAATATATACATATTTTTAAATTAAGTTTATTCATTAGGATCATGTAATTTAGTGAGACTATAGTTACACCCAAATTAATGTTCATTTTCAAACTAACCAGAATATGAACGCTGAAATTTCCCTTAAGCTACAGACACTTTAAAATTACCAGATCAAAACAGCGACCAACACTTTACTCTTCTAGTTTTTTAGAAGTTACTCATGCTCTTTAACAGCTTCCTAAACACATGCTTGCCACTTGAACGAGTAACATTCTTGCAACATTTATTTCACTTTGTGTGCACATCAAAAAATAAGTTAAAATGCCCTAACGGAGGGCTGTCTAAGAAACGCATACTACACCTGGACCAAATATGAAAATTTTGTGAACATCAGACAAGGCTAGGACTGTTACCAATATATATTTATGCACGTCTTGCAGAAAGCAGTTTCTGGAGTATTTTTCCAGATAATGAGAAGCGTTTAAAATGATCCTAAAACCATTTTGTACCAATGTGGAAAAGTGTTGAAAAAATTCAGTTACACTGGTAGTCGGTAGTTAGTAGAAAGCACTCAAAAGGGAGAGTCCATTTGTTTTTCTTGTATTCTTGTTTTCTCCATTCAGGGCATGAAAAGTACGTGTTCGTGAAACCTTACCATTTGGATTTCAGATGTCCTGCTGATTTCTCATCTCAGCTCTTCTGGTTATTGCATCAGTCTCTCCCTCAGTTAAGACATGCTGTGAAGAGCAAGGACCAGTGGAACAGCACAGTCTCTTCATTCAAGCAGCCTACAAGTACCCTTCTTAGAGAGAAATAAGAGAAGTCTTTTCCAGCACCTTCCAGGAATTACTACTCCTCTCCTCATAGGGAGGGGAGGAACTAGGGCAAGTTAATAAATATGAAAATAAATTATACCCTTCTCCCCACCAAAAAGCTGGTTTAGGCTATTAACATCAATAGAAACTTTATCTTTGTTTGGATACAAACATCTAAGAGGTAAAGTGTCTGTGTGTCATCTTCAGGCAGCACATTTAAACAATGTAAGAAAAGTTAGTACCCCACAAGTTTTAGCTTTTCAGGATGATCCTCTAGATAGATGTCTAATTCTACAGTATCGTGTTCTGACTCATGCAGTTCCCTTTAAATGGTCATAAGACGCTACCAGATTACAAAACAGACAAAATTCAGTGCTCTAGTACCTATCAGCCCTTCACAGAGCAAATGTTCACATGGAAAAAACCCTTAATACCACACAGGCATTCTTGTCAAGTTTGAGTATGACAAACCGAGATGGTGTAAATATAACATACTCTCTATCCTTGTTATAAAAGGCACATTTAGGCAGTTTTAAATGTGCTAAATGGTTTGTTTCCAGTGTTAAAAAGAAACTGTTTAAATGGAAGGAGCATCTGCAGGAGGTCAATTTAATCTTCAGTAGGCAACAGGAGGTGCTGTGGAGATGATGGATGAGGTTACTTTTCCGCTGATCCAATATTCTTATAAATGTATAAAACCTCTGCAGATCAGCCTTGGAAGGGAGATCTACAAAGCAGTCTGCAGAATACAACTTTTCTGTCGGTTACTTGGTATTTTTGGTTTTATTTGTCTGTTGATGCTGCTGCCATGGCTGGTTTCATGCCCTCGCGCGTTGACTTCAGCTCCTCTAATTCTGTGTTTAGTTTGCTGATCACCCACTCCAGCGCATCCCGACCCTGCCAGGAAAATACTAGAATTTAGGATCAGAACAGATACACCACCACGGCTCATGTTTCTATAGTTTTTCCTCTGTCAGACATGAAACTTGTTTTAAAATTAATTTCATGCCCTGCATATTTTGAGCTCCCAGTAGCGCACCTAGGCAAAAAGCCCAATTCAGCAGTTAAGTTCCCTTATGTAAGAGTATTCCTGTTTTTACTGTTTGCTGCTCCCACCACCTACAGAATATCGGCAAATTTATAGCAAAGTCTAGATACGGTTCTCAGATTCATTAACCAAGTTATATGGACAGTTTTTGAGCAGATCCAGGACAAAGAAAGAGTCTCCCAAGTGCTCTTTGAAGTAGCAACTAATTGATTCGATATCTAGCAAGAGTTCAGAGACGGACTCGCACTGAATTCTACATTCATGCACAGCAACTTTTCAGCATATAAACCAGACTAACTGAGAGACTACAGTTGCACATTTTATATCAAGGTATGGTCTTTCTCTGTTCAATTCTCAGAATGGGGGTGCCTCAAAGCTAGGCACTGACAGCCAATGCTTTAGTAAGAGCTGGGGAATCCAGCAAAATAAGCACATCAAAACCCCTTTACCTTAAAAAGACCCTGTAAGCAGCTGCACCCCAATGACCACAAGATGAGCACGCAGCCAGGCGCCCAATGAAGCAAAGAAAATAAAGACAAGCGCTTTAACTAAACAAAAGTGCAAGATTTTAGAGCACCACCATCTCAGAATGACAGCTTTTGCCAAAATGAGCAGATGGGATCAGACCAGGAAAACACCTGGCCTTTTTTCACTTAAAGAGAAGCCAAGAGACATGCACCTCTATTGCCCTACTAAGAATAAGGAGTACGAACAGCGGAGAGCAGTAACTGGGAGCCACATGGCTCTGGTCAAGTCTAGAGGAGTTCTGGAGATAAAGGGTCTGAGCCCCAAAAGTCCCAAGTCTTCAGGAGAGCCAGTGTCAGTGTTGAAGCCCTCTGCAGAGATCGAGGGAAAGGGGGGGGAACAGCCCTCCACACACACACAATGTTGTTCTGAACTCTGATGTACTATTTTTGGTGCATGCATTGTAAGTGATAAAGTGAACAGAAACCTCTTCAAGTGTCCAGAACCTGCTGTTGTCCTTTATAAACCACTAAGCATGAACAAGAATCTGCATAAACAACTTTGAAAACCTTAAAAAAAAAAAAAAAAGTCAAAAAAACCCCACACATACTCTTGAAGAATTTTTTTGGAGGCTAGAAACATTATTCTGGAATAATATTAAAAGCCCAGTTCCAGGCTGCAAAGTGTAACCTATTAAAAGAAACAAAGTTTTACTATGAATAAGAGCATATTTATCTCAAGACCCTCACTAACCTCAGTGAAGGGCTGACTCTGTTTCTCTTCAGGTTTTTCATATTACAGGGACTCACAGAATAAACACTAATTGCTATGTCTGCACTGGCAGTCAATCCTTAACCTGAGAAAAATTATCCACATATCACAACAAAGCGTTCCATTCTTGGCCAGAGCTCAGAAAGGGGGATTCAGCCCTACCCAGAATTACCTCAAGAACTAGTATCTTTACGTTAACTTAGTTCAAGATAGGCCTTTAAAAAATACCAACAATAATCAAGAAAACAAGATTTAAATTGTCCAGTTTAAGTATGGGTTGCTGAAAAAAGTCCGTAGAGAAGTATGATTTAACTTGTGCGTTCCTTCCATTTGAGCACCAAATCGACCACGGCTCAGCAGGTGATAACTTCCACCGTCTCTACATCCTGCGCAAGACCCGGGAACACCAGCAAAGCATGGATAAAAGCACCCAGACAGGAGTAGGCTACTGCATAGCAACAAGTTGTAACTAGCTATGAATTAGCTGAGAAGGGTGCTCCCTAAGGAACAAAGCGGGGGGAGAGAGGGGGAATCATCTTTCAGTAAGCATGCATTTGGATATTTAAAAGTCAGGTTAAAATGTCCTCTCTTAGGTGACACAGGCACAGAGGACTGAGTAAGACAGCAACAGCTTAGATGTTATATTTGTCTAATTGCACAAAGACGACTTGTCAGAAAGTCAAACTCCTTTGACATAGAAAATGCGCTGTAGAGAAATACTGAGATTCTTTTCAGGCCCTGACTATGAAACAACCAGGTCACAGTGTTTTAGTTGATATGTTTGTTGATAAGATAAAGTAAAGCAAAAAAATCCATGACATTCAACTGGAGCACCAAGATATTTCCTTCAGCTTTTCAGACTACATAGGTCTGCATGTTTCCTTAGGCCTGCATAGACTATATGCTGTACTTTGCAGCTAAGAATAAACCCGTGATGTTGGCAAGGAAGATTTCAGGAATATTCTGCACAGGAAATTAAGTTACAAAATCTTAACCAGATGCAAAGCCTCCAAGTACTGTAGAACTACCCAGTTACACAAAAAAAAAAAAAAATAAATCTGACAGAGGATTGGTCTATAAAGTTTCCTACTGTACAACAAATTCTGTAGTAAGTCATTAAGCAAGCACATTCATAACCAAGCATGCATATTATATTAGTCTTTATTGCATATGTTAGCAGTATGACGTGTTTGGCAGACCAAACACTGCATATGAAGATTTGTTTGTAGAGCTTAAGTGACTGATAAATGCTGAGCCTTTGTAGTTGACATTTTCCAGAAAAAGCCATAAAAGCTTAGTGGAATGAGAACATAAAAGCAGACACTCATTGCATACACTGATCTCAAAGTAAGCAGTGTAAAAAAATCCTACGTTCTTAACTAGGAGAAGCAGCGTAATGGAATTTTTTCTTTTTTTAAGGAATCGTATTAGTTGAAGCATAAGCCAATACAGGAATGACAGAGACAGGCTACACTGACTAGTGGAAGCAAAATAATCTGCACAGAGGTATCACAGAGGCAAGTACACTCAGTTCTCTCAACCTTGAAGTCAGGTTTTTTCACAGTCACATGGCTTAAGGGACACGTCACTACTGAAATGAACATAACTACAAGACCAATGGAAAACATGAGCATCTGATGTTCTGACAGCTTCAAGCTTTGTACAGATTTCCACAGAAGTTCACAGAAGGGCAACAATATTCCTCAGGCATAAGAAAGGCAAATACAATTTCACTATGCAAAAGATTGCCCGTTAGGCAATCTGTTTCAAGAAATCAATTTTATATCCTAAGAGTACAATTCTGTGTCATTTTTATAATGCCAATTCCAGTCATTAATCAATTTATTAATTTCTTCAGGTACCAGTTTTACATACTGAAATCAGAGAAACCAGGACCGGATCAAACTCTTGCTGGAGGGACTCATTCACGTGCCTAGTTATCTGCAGTCATCATTCCACTGTCAAACCACAAGCAATAACGTCTGGCACAAGACGTGGGCTGCAGCAAGCTGGTTGTCCAGTGGCATAAGCATGGGTTAATTGATCCAGTTTAGATCTGACCTACTCTCACTCTCTACAACTGCAGTGTAATGAACATGTTTGCCATTCCTGTATGCAATGTATATAAAACATACATGCAGGTTAATTTATGAAATTCACATGACAACAATCCATGCACATATTTGCTAGAAAGCTGAAATGCTGTACCAAGAAGAAGAATGCTGGCATTACCACTAGTTAGTACAAACTGTAGATGTGGAGAACTGCTAGCTTAGAGCACTTTCAGAATTTTGAATTATCCACTCAATAGCATCCCACCCCTGGAGTAACACAAAAAAGGTTTACAACATATGGCAAATAATTACTTTTCCATCGTCATTAAAAATAATAATGTGTCATCTGCCACCTCTACCTCAGAGCAAAGTCTCAATACTTACTTCCTATTTCTTCAGAACAACAAAACATTTTTCAGCAACTTTCATGAAGTTTAAGAGGGGTGCTAAGAGCACAGAGGCACAGCACAGCATGCGAGAAGAGCTAGTAATAGCAGAGTTGGTTACTGGCTAGCAAAGAAAGGGCTAGTAACAGCAAGTAGCAATTCCCGCCAACTTCAAAATCTCTAAAGAGACTCTTCAGTGAAGCACATGGGTCAAAAAGGTATTTTTGATTTGCAAGAAGCTTGTGAGCCAGTGTGTTCCTTGAAAATGGCAGAACAGAAGAACAACCTTTAAAAGGAATCAAGCTCTCACACAGGCAGCACCTAAACAGGTATCAAGAAATATTTATGCTCTTTCTCTGAGTTTAGTAGAGACATACAAATGTGACAGATGCCATGAAAGGAATTCAGCCAGCACTTAAGTGTGCCTAGTTGATCTGGCCATTCCAACTAGCTACTGCTCTGCTGCCTTCGAGTCAGCCTGAAGTTTGGTTGCGAGCCAGGGTTTGGACTTCTCTTTCAAGAATACATGCCCCCCACAGACTTCTAAACGGAAACTGGATCAGAATAGAATTGTTATTTGTCTGAAATACATGCCATTTATGACTTTCAAACAAACACAGAGAGCACTCAGCTAGTTACTCTTTAGTGTCTAGAAATTACCCATTGCTCCTTCCCCATCCCCTGATTTTCACCTGTTTTCCTCTCATTTTTGGAGAAGCACACAAAAGGCAGGGAAAGGAGGCTCTCTCCTCTCTGATCTAGTTGGTCAGTACCTCCTATCAAGTTGGCTTACACTGCCTTGGTCAAGCAATATCTCTCACAAGGACAAAGGGCTGGCCAAAGCACGGGCTCTCTGGCATAGCAGGAGTTACCTGGGCCACATTCCCACTGTGCTGAACCTCTCCAGCAATGCAGAGCACAAACTCAAATTTCAGGTGTATTCCTCCTGCTGTTAGGCAGTGACGCCTATGCTTTTATAGCAACCCCATTTCTTTCCCACTTTCCCTGAAGAAGGATAGGACAACGTGCCCAAGAATAAGCACTCCCATAGCTCTGCCTGCGCTGAAGTACAGGTCAATGGCTGCAAGCCAAGTAGAAAAGGCAAGCACAAGACAGAGGAGTCGGTGTAGTGTTACCTACAAAAGCCAGCATAGTTTCATCTCTTCAAAGAATATGGCTCTGCTTACACTACCTTACTTTCAGCCAAAGGCAAGGAGACAGCTCAATAATGGATAGGAACTGGAACAACTGACAAAGCAGCATAGAAAATACGCCAGCATTAACTGCTAAATCCAAATTATAAAGGCTGAAAAGGAAGTTATATTCACTACTAGCACTAACTCCTAGAAATAGGAGGTTGGTGTTTAAAAAGGTACTTTGGGAAAAAAAAAACCAACAAAAACCAGTAATATGTGTATGCTATGTCTAACTGTAGCATACACATAGAAGTTTGTTTGTTCTGATGTGCAATTCTAGTTGAAAAACAAAGATTTAGTAGTGAAACCTTTTCATACTTTGGGAAATTATATTCTACTCGCTGAGGTCCTACAAAAAAAAAAAATCAGTTGAAACTCTGCACAAAGTTTAGAGAAATTAAATATACTATTCAACACACATGACTGACAATTACTATTTCAATAAAATGAAAGGTAGGGGTGGGGAGAGAGAGGTAGAAAACAGAATGAAGATGTACCTTTCTGGCATTAGAAGATATTGTGTTTGCCATTAAGCTTTCCAGATAACTGCTCAAGCTAATGCCTTTAACAGTAATAATTGCTTCTTGAGTTAGCACAGTTCTGCAAGAGAATAAAGAAAAGTTAATACCTAAACTGAATTGGACTAACATAATGTCTCCTATACACAAAGAAGGACACAAACATCCTTACTTACTTTTCAGGGTTTTCAGGATGAGGCGTGTAAACCAGTCTCTCATCAACAGACACCAAGTTCGTGAGAGTAATCTTAAAAAGAAAAAAAGAGCTGAAATCCTCACTTGCCGCCTTTCATTTTTCTGTTATCAGCAGCACTACTCAATAGCAGAGCACTCAATTTAATGTCAGAGCCAAAGCAGTGTATGCAGAATATAAAACCCAGAACACAGTCAATAAAGAGACCTATAAAGGGTGATGCATCTTCTCCTATCCTGGATCTAATTATATCAGTCTAAATTCCTATTCACAGTACAAAGCACAAACAGCTTTCCGTTTGTTTTCTCTGAATGTTGAGTCTTAGCTGATTTATGGCATGCAATTCAGAGAGGCTCTTCAAGACCAAGACCACCATAACACTATCTGGAGCTACAGAAAATTAATATTCAGGAGAGACAATGCCTCTCGTACAGAGACAAGGCTCTCCTACAGACAACTTCCCTTTAAATCTGATAGTTATAAGTTCCCAGGACACCAAAATACAGCATAATACTTCATTTACATTTTGTGAAAAAAGGCATTTAAAATTAAAACTTTTGCTGTAAATGGCAGTGTAATGTAGAACAAGTTATTCATCTAAAAGTCAGACTACTTTACATCCACTCTGAGAAATAATCTTACATTAAAAACAGAATCACAAATGTTTGATCCCAAAGTATTTAAAGTTTTGTATTTGTGGGAAGAAGGAGGAGGGAAAAGAAAGAGCCAACTAAGATGCCAACTCAGACGTGGAAATTGCCGCCTCCTGATGAAAGACGCAAACACATTTCTAATTTAAATGTTAAGAGCAAAAAGTCTAATCTCCAGAACTAATTACCAGAAACTTCTTAAGCTACCACTCACATTAGTTGAGCAAAGTTCCATCTTTTTTTCCACTGGATCTACCACAGAATGTTCCTCAATGTAAGTCAGAGTTCTACTTGTTCCTAAAATCTGAAAGTGAAGAAATAAAAAAATAAAAAAAATAAAGTATTAAAATAAAAAAACCCAACACCAAACAAACTGAAATGCAGAAGTGTGAAATTCTTAGTGAACCCAAAAAAATACAAAGTAATTCATGGATACCAGAACACTGTGATCAGTGGCAAGACTAGAGTCTGGTAGGTTGTATCAGACATATGGCGTGACACAGACCAGTCTGGAAGGCTTGTATAGACATACACACACTATAGGCATAAGAAAGCTTACAATGTTTTCTCACTACAAGGTACACCAATTACAGCTCATGGGATATTTGTGACACAAAACCACACCACGCCCTTAATAAACCATTACGACTGTAAAAGCGTACCGCTTTGACAATACTTGGCAATCCCCACTCTGTGCTGAGAAGACGGTGACTATGCAACCTCCCCTGGTTATCCAGGCTTCTGTCGAGGACATCTACTCCTACCACACATGGATTCATTGGGTTGGGGTACTTTCTCATGGCAGCTTTGATCACTGTATCCCAGGGGTGTCTGTAAAAAGAAGAGGAGACAATATTTGTAACTGTTGTGTATTTAATTGCAAGTATTCAGACAACACAAAATCAGGGATCTAGCTTGCATAATACGGCACATGCTGTACAACTTCATAGCTCTCAAAAGTCCCTTCAGAATACAGTGATGCTTGGAAAGGCAATAAGGAAGTATTGACACACAGACAGAAGAAAAAAAAAATCCTTTCTATAGAGTGAAGAAAGGAATTATTAACCCAAGACTAACAGAAATGAGGACAAGGGGCAACAGTCCCAAATTGCTACAAGTGACATTCCAACCAGCTGTGCAAAAAACCCACAGTGACAGGGTGGCTGTCCAGAGAGACTGTTGAATCTCGATTCATTTCAGAACTCAACCGGAAAAGCAACCTGACCTAACATTTAAGTTAGCCCTGCTTTGAGAAGGAGGCTGGACTAGATGACTTCCAGAAGTCCACTCCAACATAAATTCTTCTATAATTCTAACCACACCAAATAAACTAAAGAAGAAATCATTAGCTTCTGTTTCTTCCTATAGCAAAAAAAAGCAAAGTGAAATTTAATTCAACTAACCATCATCAGGAAGTTCAAAATAAAGAAACAGATTTTCAGAAACCATATCAGCTCACTGCCTTAAGTCAGCACCTACGCTACTGCTTCCAGCAGCTTGTTAGCATGAATTACATTTATGGATACTTTTCTCAATACAGAACTGTTTTTACGAAACAAGTTTTGTTAATCTCAGACTCCTGGGATTAGAGCAGCCCCACTACTGGAGGCCAGGCTGTCCACACGGCTCTTGTTGTGGGATTTCATATATCTTCTACTGAAATAGAGGAGGCTAGATAAATCATGGACTTGACCCAATACAGAAATTTTGTCCCTAAGCAATGATTTCTATATTCAGAATAACTGATAGATCTGGAACGAAAGGTTTATAACCTTTAAAGGTACCTTTAAAAATTCAACTATTGATATCTAACTTAAGAAGGCTTAGGGGTGCCAACTTGTATGTCAGAGTTGCACTTAGGGCCCTAAATGGATTTGATTTTTAAGAACACTACTTTTAGTCTTAAAATAGACCGGTACAGAAGGGCATCAACAGTACACCACCGCCAGAACAAACAGAAGCTTGGAAAAGTAAGTTCTTTCCAACAAGAAGAGTAAGAAAAGGTCTTTCAGCTTTATTGGTGCAAGCAGGAAAAATAGAGCCTTCAATTCCTACATCAGAAGGAGAACTGGAGGACCATTCCTTATCTTCAGTGACTACATCATAATCAACAGAAGATACACAAACTGAAAAGGTCAAATTTCTGTGAAGTGTCCTTGAGGGATTTTAAGAGTCAGAGATCTGATAAGGCACAACAATATTTTATTAACCCCACGCTGAACAATCTACACCCACACACATTACACCATAAGATGGGGGTATTCCAATACAGATGTCGATTAGAAAAGGCCAAATAAAAATCGAGTTTGTGTCTCCCAGGTGACAGATATTAATCTCAGACTCAGAAATCATGCCATACACAAGCAGCCTTTACTAGCCTCTGCCTGTCATTTCATACTAGAAGCTATCGTGTACTTGTACCAGACTCATGTTAAAGCTACGTCAGCGTAATGAATTCAGTTGTGTTAATGTAACGAAAGAAGTTTAAAACTGCACATCTGGGACATTTTGTAAATATTTTAAGAACTATCACCCCTGGTGCTCTTCAAGTTTCGTGATTTTTAAGAGACCTGCAGCCAATGAGTTATGGGCGGCATTTTAAGAGCTGCACTGGAACTGCCGTGTCCTCCACGGCAGCTCCCCGGCATAGCTTGAGCAAGTGTTACGTACCTGTTGATACTTCTGCCGATCGTTCTCTCGTTATACAAAAACGGAATCGGATGACCAGAGCCATGTTTAAAATACGCAGAACAGGACTGACAGTAAGAAAATTTACTCAGCTATCGCTTAATGGCTGTCTGCTAGGCATCTCTGTGGGAGTATCTGACGGCTGAGGTAAAACGCACTGTCGCTCTGTCCATATCTTGGAATGTATCATCAAGTGCGTCAGTAGTTTGGGATTTTTTTTTTTTTTGATAGTGTGAAAGTTATTTTTCCTGTAATGCCCACATCTTTATCAAGCATTACGCTGTCGAGCCAGCTCTCCCGCTGCCCCGTCCCGTTGGCGTTCCCCGCCGCAAGCGGCAGGAGGGGGGGGGGACCCGCCGC